CGCAAACAGTTTGAGTATATGGCCTTGCAGGGTCAGGATGCGCCAGGGTTTCTGCCCCAGATAAAATGGTTTTTATAATTTCAAATGCCTTTATGGCCTCTGGATTCCATTCAATTGCATCCTGTGCCTTCATAGGGGCATCATAAATCAGCCCTAACAAGGGCTGAGTTAGCTCCGCATGTGAAGAGATCCATGCACGGCAGAAGTTAGTCATTCCCAAAAATGACATCATCTGTTGTTTAGTTTCGGGTCGCGGAGCTTGCATTATTGCAAGCTTTCTGTCTTTTAATAAGGATTTTCCTTCCCTAGAAATTGCATGGCCCAGATATTTGACCTCGGGTAAACAATATTGCAACTTTTTTCGGCTCACTTTATGTCCCCATTCTCCCCAAAATTTTAAGCAGGCCAGAGAATCTTGGCGGCAAATTTCGTCGGATGGGGAACATATAAGTATGTCATCTACATACAACAAAACTTGACTGCCACCCGGGGGCTCAAATTTTGCCAGATTACTTTCCATACATTGTGAGAATATGGCCGGGGATTCAACAAATCCCTGTGGACATCTGGTGTACGTATATTTCCTTCCCAAAAATGTGAAGGCAAACCAAAATTGGGAGGCCTTGTCAACCGGAATAGAAAAAAACGCATTTGCTAAATCAATTACTGTAAACCAAGCTGTATCAGGTCGCAAATTGTTCAGCAAGGTATTGGGGTCGGGTACAACTGGGGTCCGGGGAATCACTGCCTTATTTACAGCCTGTAAATCCTGAACCAATCGCCACCCTTGTGATGGCGCTACCTTTTTTACTGGGAACAGGGGGGTGTTACATGGAGAGTCAGGGCAATCCACTATGATGCCCTTCTCCTTAAGTTCCTTAATTATGGGTTCAATTCCTTCAATGGCCTCTGGTTTCATAGGATACTGCCGTTGGTATGGGCGGTGTGTTCCTTTTGGTATGATTTTAATAGGTTCAATCCCTTTTATTAGTCCTACGTCAGCTGATCCTTTGGACCATAGAGCATCAGGCAGAGCATTCAACTCCGCCTCCTGTTCTATTTCCACTCCTAACAGTCAGGGAACCATCTTCCCTGAGTGCATCTTCCTAACTCTTTCACATTGATACACCCAATTCAAACATTGTGAGTAGAGACCTGTCCTCGGGGAATACCATATCCCTGCATCCTGAGTCTCTTCCCAATCCTGTGCTTTTATCCCACAATCTACCAGGTTACCCACTTGTTGCCATGACTTTTTGCATCTCTTTGCAATTGATACATGGGGGTTCCCTTCTCCCTGGTATAGCTGATCATCTAACGGTTGGAGTAAAACTTTCCCTCCCATATCAGTTGCATTCCAATATATACATTGAATCGTTAATCGTGTGGAACTTCCCAATTTGAAATGTCTCTCATATGGCAACGAACTTCCCCCTTTTTCACGGTACCACATGGTACAGTGCAGATCCTCAGGCAGGTGGAAGTCACTTTGTTCCATGACCCGCTGGTGTGCCAATCTAAGCAGTTCCTGTTGGAATTGTCCTGGCCCTTCCTTTAACTGTAGGGCATAATAGTATTGTGGTTCCCCCCTTTCTTGGATAATTAGGGTATCTTCAATTTTTTTTTTGTACGTAACCTTAACTGCTTCCCATCGGTCGTCACCCATAGGTATCACTCCTAACTTGAGTTTAGTTAACACATCTCTCCCTAGTAAATTAACCGGGCATGTCATTGATATAACCACTTGTGCTTCTACAGTCTCTTTATTCTTGTAACAGAATTCAAGAGGTTCCGTGACGCATTGTGTTTCTAAGTCTCCGGACGCTGACCGAATATCAATTTTTTCCTGACTCTTTTTATAAGGAAAAGTTGCGTCTCTCATCGTAATAACCGTTCTACATGCTCCTGAATCGCATAAAAACGGTATGTCAATTCCATTCACTCTTAATGTCAACCAAGCACTCCCAGGAGACTGTATTAACGCCAATATACGTTCAGTCTCCTCTCTCTCCTCCTCTCCTTCTTCTTCGGGCTTTTGGGACTTCCACCGGTTTGGACAATCCCTTGCCCAGTGTCCCATTTTCCCACAAACATAACATTCTCCCCCATTATTGTTCTTTTGCTTCCTTTTTCTATTCTGCCATGGTTGTTTATTAACTTCTTGTGATATAAATCCCTCATTATGCCTATTATTCCTCTTCTCTTCCCTTGTTATTCGTTCGAAATGGATGGCATGATCTAATACTGGCTGGAGTGCCCCTATACTCCATGTTATTAGATGTTGTTTTACCAATTTTGAAATATGGGGCACCATTCCCGCCAGAAATGCATTCTTAATTTGTTGTGCCCAAACTCCAGTATCATCATGTGGATGTGGTGGTTCGATTCCACTATTGGAATTAGACTCCCTAATTTTGGACTCACCAACAAGTGAGTTCTGTAGCTCAGTGGTTAGAGCACTCGCCTTGCAAGTGAGACACCTGGGTTCAATTCCAGGCAGAGAGCGAAACCTTGGGTAAGTTTCCTTACTCCACACGCCTAATAATAATCACTCCAAAATAAATAAATAAATAGGTCATTTTCAATCCACGACTGTGTGTGGGAGCTACAGAGACACACAGATAGAGAGAGAAAGATACAGGGACACGGAGAGAGAGAGACACACAGAGACACAGAGAGAGAGAGATACAAAGACACGGAGAGAGAGTGTTACAGAGACACAGAGAGAGAGAGATACAGAGACAGAGACACACACAGACAGACAAATACGGAGATACACACACACAAAGAAAGACACATATCTCGAACCGCTTTGAGACAACCTCCTGACATGAAAGACACTTTATAAATGTAAAACAAGAACAACAAGATTACATTTGTATAAAAAACTTGTTGTTGGAGATAAAGATTACTGCGAGATGGATAATTTACTCCTATTTTCTCTGGAAATCAGGTGCATCTCTTAAACCAAACAACTAGTGAAAAGTGAGAGTAATTTTTTGCAATAAACTTTTGTTAACAAAAGTATATTTTCTACCTTTTTTATCTCACACTGATCACTTCTCTGCTGACATAAGGCGACTTATTTGTTTTTTTCTATGGTTCCTCTTTGATTGAGATGGAATTTCCCCACAAGTTCTCAAGGCTAAGGCCATGAGATACCTTGGGCCAATGCAGGGTGGGGGGGAGAGGGGTTGTGAGGAAAACATGCCCTGATATAGCCACAAAAAACGTCCAATATCACCAAGAGCATTGAAGCAAGTTTAGGAATAGTTCAATGACACTAATTTGATGGGTAGACTCAAATGTTTGCCACAACTAGCGCAGAGTCAAGGGGAAGAGCTGTGATCTATGGAGAACACCCTTACAGCAGCAGAACAGATGGTGGGAAATAGTTTCTACATTTTGAGGCAACAAACGGTCCAGACATTTGTCGCCTCTGACTCTGGGAAGCTTATTAGATTGCGTACGTACCCATCAGAGGCCAGAGTGCTACCCACTGAGCTAGGCTGACACCTCAGATGTCAGATGATAATAATAATAATAATAATCCTTGCATTTGATATAGTGCCTTATTACATTCTTGAGACGTCTTCACAGAATATACTGTAATGTAAATTAACTGTGTATTTTGTGGGAGAAATGCAACAGCCAATTGCACACAGCAGTGTTCCAAAATATTACATGACCAATACAAACAGTCATGTATTGAGGGACTAAATTATTACGTTTTTTGAATGATTATTACCACCGGAAACGCTATTCATGAATCGACTAACAACAGGTTCCTACTTACTATTAGGTAAACAGAGGAGTGTGAAGTAAGGAAACTTGCCTAAGATTTCACTGTTCTGGATATAAACCTTCATGGTATCAGGGGCGAACTTTGCTTTCAGTGAATCAGGAAACAATATCGTATAGCAGTAAGAACTGTCAAATCCCATAGTACTGTCAAATTTCATGTGTGTCAGCCTGGCTCAGTTGGTAGCCCTCTTCTTTGAGTCAGAAGGTTGTGGGTTCAAGCCCCACATCAGGAATTGAACTCATAGTCTTGTGTGACACTCCAATTCAGGTTCAGGGTGGAGGTGCCTGCTACAGATGAGATGTTAAACTGAGGCCCTGTCTGCCAAATGTTAAACATCCAATGGCACTTTCCGTAAAGAGAAGGGACTTTCTCCCAGTGTCCTGGCCAACAAAGCCCCTGATAAAATTGGTAATTCACTTCATGACTGTTTGTGGGACTTTGTCTGTGCAAATTGGCCACAGTGATTGCCAATAAAACATACACAGTTACTCCACTTTACAGTATGCCCTGTGAAGCACTTTGGGATGTCCTCCGAACGTGAAAGGTGCTGTATCAAATGTAAGGATAATTTTTATTGTAGTGAGATACTGGGATATTAAAGGCATTCAAGAGTCTTGTGAAAGGAAGCGGGGGCGGGTGGGTGGGTATTGGGAGTAAAAGATCTGTCAGGATCTAATAAACTGGTGGAGAACAGGCTTGATGGGATAAATGGCCTATTCCTTCTTTCCTAAGTTTCTTTGAGTTAAAGGCTTGAAAGATCGGACAAAAACACAGGTAAAATGTTGGTAGTAAAACAGCTATCACAGGCCTCTGAGAATCAGAATTTCTTTCACAATTTTTCCAGTATTTTTTATTGGAATGCATACACAATCCCACAGTTTAAATCCTAATTGCTAGAAGTGGCCTTTGGTTCACAAGTGAACTATTTTCAATCTCAGGGCGATGAGATTATGTTATGAATTTTAAAACTCCTTAATTTTGTATAGAATTAAAAGTTTGTTTCTTTTGTCATGTACTTCCCATTTCTGATGCAAATGCATTTCTCCTCGCTCTTCTGGTTTTTATACTGAGAATTCAAAACAAAAGAGTTGCTCATCGTTTCCCTACAAAAAGTGTAGTGGCAAAATGTGCTGACCCATCGAAAGACAAAAAGCCTTGATATTTCAATATTCTAAGGCTTCTGCAAATTCCAGTATCACAAGAAGGAACGAGGCTTGTGAAGCCTCCGTATGTACATTACACAAATAATAATTTATTTCTTGAACTAGCATTGGATTTTGCATTATTATTTTGTAGAACAAATCGCTGCTTTCCATTCTCAACTGCTAATGCTTGTTGTGCAAGGGTGACTTCTGCAGAGCGCAGGGATGACGACTGCACTGCCTACTGAGGATTATTATAACTATGACAATTACAATTACAATTACAGTTACTCCGATGAAGACTTTGTTGTTCTCTGTGAAAATTACGATAGCAACATGTTTGGAGCCACATTGACGGTCACTTTGTACAGCTTGATCTTCATTTTAAGCGTGGTTGGAAACAGTTTGGTTTTGTGGATCATGTTGAGGTACGAGAAGCTGAAAACCATAACGGACATATTCATTGTGAATCTGGCCATTTCGGATTTGCTTTTTGCCGCCTCGCTCCCGTTTTGGGCAAAGGATCACGTCTCTGGATGGGTCTTTGGGAACGCCATGTGCAAATTACTGAGCGGTGTTTTCTTCGTTGGCTATTACAGCGGGATCATGTTTCTGACACTGATGACGGCTGATCGATACTTTGCTGTGGTCCACGCTGTTTACGCTGCAAGGAGTAGAAAAACCTGCTACGCAGTCACAGCAAGCCTGGTCGTTTGGGCAATTAGTTTATCAGCCTCAGTGCCTGAATTCATTTACTCCACTGAAATTACATGGGATCAAACAAAGTTTTGTATGGCTAACTATCCAGAAGATAGTGAACACATCTGGTTGTTGTTCGGGTATTACCAGCAAATTATATTGTTCTTCTTAATTCCATTAGTTGTCATTGTGTATTGCTATTATAAAATCATGAACACTGTGCTGAGGTGTAAAGCAAGGAAGAAGTACAAAGCAGTGAAGGTGATCTTGTGTATTGTGGTGATTTTCTTCCTGTGTTGGGCACCATACAATATGGTGATTTTCCTGGTCTCTCTGAAACAACTTAATGTGTCGCCATTCACAACCTGTGAGATGAGCAAACACATCGACTACGCGTATTTCATCAGTCGTAACCTCGCTTATTTCCACTGCTGTCTCAACCCCGTGTTTTACGCTTTTGTGGGTACAAATTTCAGAATACATCTAAACAAATTATTAAGGAATCTGTTTCCTTGTATGAGGACTCAAAACCTGTGGATTTACAAAGTCAGGAGTCTCAACAGGAGTAGTTCTCATGAGTACTCTGAAGCTTTTGTGATGAACACAAGCATCTTGTAATTATTAGATAAACCAGAGTGTAGTCACAATCTCAGTGGAACCAAAATTATAACTTTAACCATAAAGACTATTATATCTTAATACAGTCAAACCTTTCAAGTAACCACCTCCATTCGACAACCTGTTAACAACCAGTCCTGACAGCTGTTCCCTCACCAATGAACCCTTACTCAGAGGCACTTTGGCCCAATCCCCTGAGTGATTGCTGAGACAGGTTTGACTATATAGAGGACGCATCGAAAAGTCTTATGGAAAGTTTTTCAACACAGTGTCAACTTGGAAGCCGCTTCCTTTAAAGAATAGCGTAAAACTGGCTTTGAAATTTAGATTGCAATAAGGGATTTTCCACAATTTAGTGTGATCCTGAAACGTATGTTGATCTTGCATGTTAAGATGTAATGATCTTCAAGGTGTAAGCTGGTAGGAATTTTGTGCCACTGCCTGCTGCAATGATGCTTCGGAGTGATGCTTATAAAAGGATCAGGGTAAAGTGGGACATGGCTTCATTGCTCGAGCTTGCAATGCCCATGTGTTGCTGGCAGACAGAACAGATTCTCCCATTCCATTCAGTTCCTGATCCAAATGCAACATTTTTCTGAGAGCAACCAAACAGAGATCAGACACCTCCTTTCTGGGAATGTCTCGGTTGGTATTAAAGTATTTTTTGTTGCAACTGACTGGGAAGGTTCCTGAACTTGTGGAGATCTTATTGTAAAAAGTATTCCTATGGGAATGGTTAGCTAGCTTATTTTGCACTATCGGGCTCAGAATCTTCTTGCGGAGGATTCAAAAAGAAATAGAACTGGATAGCAGAAGCGAGTGTTAACCGCAAGTCTTCAGACGTCTGGCGTCAGATTATTTCATTTGTAAGACTATGGTTTTGAAATTTAAGATTGTGGGGAATTTTGCAAAGCAGTCTCAATTCCAATCTTGATTTGTTTTCTGCAAATATTTTTGAAGCTTACAGCCAAGTAGAATTTGGGGTTTCTGATTTTCAAAAAGGCATAATGATAACAAGGCTCCTTCTTTAAAGTAAGACACTTTTATGTATAAGTAAGACAGATTATGTACCTCTTTGCCTCATAAGCAAAGCACTCCAAGACACTACCCCAGTGAAGGGTGCTATTATAAATGGAAGTTGTTGTTGTTGTTGTCAAGTGCACCTTTCTCAATATGTGCAACCATTCCTTGATGTAAATGGACATTTCTTTCTGTATTAAAAAATCTGCAGTACTGCAGAAAGTCAAGGTTAAGCTTGCAAATAACAATGGATGTGTGATGAACCATGATACAGTTAACCAGTGTCACAAGATTTCAGTGTAGCCAGCAATATTGCAATAAACTGTTATAGTTCACAATCTTGCGTTTGATTTGTTTCATGGATATAAATACAGTTTAACATTTATATAGAATCTTTCACATAAAATAAATATCTTGAAGCGTTTTACGGAAGTAATTCATATGATGTGAAGTCGGAAATGCGGCAGCTTATCAATGTCAGCAACCGTCTTACATACAACCATGAGGTGAATATCCTATTGATTCAAAGTTCCAGGGTGAATGTGGATGAGGAAGGAATATAATAATAATCCTTGCATTTGATCTAGCCTATCATCAAAATGTCTCAAAGCATTTTACAGGATTTGCTGTAAAAATACTGTGCATTTTGGTAGGCAAACACAGAGCCAATTTGTGCACAGCAATGTCACACAATTTATCTGGGGACTGTTGGCCAGGACACCGGGAGAAATACCCTTTCTTCTCAAATAGTGCCATGGGATCTTTAACATCCACCTGAACAGGCAGTTGAGGACTTGGATTAACTTCTTATCCAAAGGACAGCACCTCTGACAATGCAGCAAACCTCCAGCACTGTATTGGAGTACCAGCCTAGCCTGTGAGTTCAAAGTCCCAACATGGGACTTGGGTCCACAACCTTCTGACTCAGAAGTGAGAGTGCTAACAACTGAGTCAGGCTGACTTCTACAACCAAATAACCTATAATTGCAGATTCATCACAATGATATATGCTTACAGAAGATCGATACAATTTGTTTAGATGAAATCCATCTGATCTCATTCTTCATCCTTCCAAGCTACCCTACTGCCTTCCTATCACTACATCAAGTTGTTTCTTATATGAGTCCAATGTCCTGAACTCAGACAACCTGCTTATTACTCTTTATTGCTCTTATTATTACTCTTTGCGTAAAGAGATATTTCCTGTGTCTGTCTTGAAATGCTGCTTTCCAACGTTAAATTTATGTCCCTTTGTTTTACAGAGAACATCGAAATAGTCATTTTATTTATGTAAAATAAAATTTAATACTGGGAATCATCCTTGTTACTCTCCTCTGCACTGCCTCCAGGGCCTGGCAGTCCCCTTATAGTCAGAGCCTTGGGATGTCCTTCCCCCGTGATGTCAATTTGTTGCTGCTATAATAATAATAATAACAATAATCCTTGCATTTCATATAGAGACTTATCACATCTTATTATCATTATATGTTATCATATATTATTATCTTCGAGACATCTCAAAGCGATTCGCAGAATGTGTTGTACAGGGAATTGACTAAAATTTGTGTGTGAAACATAATGTCACTGCGATCAGAATTTTATACAGTGCTCCAGGTGTTGCCTGTTCAGAGCGCCGTATAGCCTGGGAGATGGGGGGATGGTGGGGGTGGGGGCGGTGGGCGGGGTGGGGGGGTGTGAGTGTGGGGTGAGGTCGGGGTGGGGAGTCTGCATTGATAAAGATCACATGAACCACAAATATAGTCTGATAGTGACATAGTTGCAGTTCTTGCAGGAGTGGCCATTTTTCCATCTAGTTGATACAAGCAACTTCCCAAAAGTAAATTCAAGCTCATCTCGTTGCCAGCCTGATGGAATATTCCAAACATTTCTCACTCCTAAACCAAAAGCACTCCTGACATTTGTTCTGGACCATTTTTGACTAATATCTGCTCAACCTATTTCTGGTCATCTAGTGGCCATGTGGTGTTTTACATCCTCTTGTGCAGGGAAATCCCTTACAAATCAGTGGCGCTTGATTCAAACTGAATAGTTTGAAGATTGAATCAAAAAAGAATGGCACCTGATTAGAATTTCTGTTAACCACCTCAGCGGACTTGTGTCCACAAAGGTAGGATACCAGTACCTAGCACGGGAATGTCAAACGGATATATTAATGGGGAGTTCTGTAACAATATAATAATAATCTTTGCATTTGACATAGCAATTTATCACAACATCAAGATGTCTTAAAGTGCTTGATAGTATTTTGTGCACAGCAATAGCGACTGAGGTAGATTTGGGAAGATTCAAGATGCAGAAGTCAGATTCAAAAAAGATGCTAGAAAGATTGACAAAGGTTCAACAAAGTTGTCAGAGGATTCTATCGATTGGTTTTCTCTTAAAAACATCGATGCTATTTGTTTCAACCACAGCTTCCAGTACGACATTCCTCCTAAACTCCCTATTAGATTTACTATTGGCTAAATTGTATTTATGCCCTCTAATTTTGGACTCACCAACAAGTGAGTTCTGTAGCTCAGTGGTTAGAGCACTTGCCTTGCGAGTGAGACACCTGGGTTCAATTCCAGGCAGAGAGCGAAACCTTGGGTAAGTTTCCTTACTCCACACAGAGCCTAATAATAATCCCTCCAAAATAAATAAATAAATAGGTCATTTTCAATCCACAACTGTGTGTGGGACACTGCTGTGCGCAATTGGCTGCTGCATTTCGCCTACAAATATACAGTAAATTAACTTTATAACATATTCTTTGAAGCGCTTTGAGACGTCAAGAAAATGTGAAAAGCGCTATATCAAATGCAAGGATAACTATTACCAACAAGTGGAAAAGGCTATCAACATTTACCTTATCAATCCTTTCATAATCTTAAACACTTCTTTCAGCTCCCCTCCCACTTGGCTCAATTCTGAAGAGAAAAGTTGTAACCTGTCCAATATGCTCCCACTGGCCGACATTATCCATAGGGTTCACTTCCAATTCTATCTGCCTCTATCCTCAATTCCAGGGCCACTGCTGTTCTCACATCCAATTTCTTCAATTGAATGTTGACAAGACAGACGGAGGCTCTACTGTTTAGCTCCAGTGTAGAGGATGATCCCCAGTGGTAGAGGAATGAGCTATGAGCAACGACTAGACCTGCTTAGGCTCTTCAGTCTTGAGAGGACATCTCAGAGGGGTCCTTATTGATGCCATGGCAGATACTAGGTTGTCAGAGAGAGAGAGAGAGACATACACACACAGAGAGAGAAAGAGAAAGAGAGCTACAGAGACACACAGATAGAAAGAGAAAGATACAGGGACACGGAGAGAGAGAGATACAAAGACACGGAGAGAGAGTGTTACAGAGACACAGAGAGAGAGAGAGAGAGAGATACAGAGACAGAGACACACACAGACAGACAAATACGGAGATACACACACACAAAGAAAGACACATATCTCGAACCGCTTTGAGACAACCTCCTGACATGAAAGGCACTTTATAAATGTAAAACAACAACAAGATTACATTTGTATAAAAAACTTGTTGTTGGAGATAAAGATTACTGCGAGATGGATAATTTACTCCTATTTTCTCTTGAAATCAGGTGCATCTCTTAAACCAAACAACTAGTGAAAAGTGATTTTCTACAATAAACTTTTGTTAGCAAAAGTATATTTTCTACCTTTTTTATCTCTCACTGATCACTTCTCTGCTGACATAAAACGACTTATTTGTTTTTTTCTATGGTTCCTCTTTGATTGAGATGGAATTTCCCCACAAGTTCTCAAGGCTAAGGCCATGAGATACCTTGGGCCAATGCAGGGTGGGGGGAGAGGGGTTGTGAGGAATACATGCCCTGACATAGCCACAAAAAACGTCCAATATCACCAAGAGCATTGAAGCAAGTTTAGGAATAGTTCAATGACAATAATTTGATGGGTAGACTCAAATGTTTGCCACAACTAGCGCAGAGTC